GTGAGTTACCCAAGTGGAAAGGGTTGTTTGAGACCTCCTATTTTAGAAATGTGAGAATGTTTTAAGCAAATCACACGGGGCTCTTCTTTTGAACCTAATTTATTGTTTATCGGGGAGAAAAAATAAGCATTCAACTTAGTTCATTCCTTAGTAGTGCGGCTGAGAACTCATTTGTATTGCGCTGACCAAAATTGCCGCCTTAACCTCATTTTTCGCTCTGTCGTTAGCTTCCTTCAAGGTAATCATCTGGCTTGATTTCTTTTGTTGTCTTTTCTCCTAGATGCAGAAATGGATCGGTTTGACCAACGTTGGAAGCGCATTGCTAAACCTCTACCGGAGATTAATGAAATTCATTCAATCTTCGTCCAATTCATTCGAGGTGGGTACCGGTTGGTGAATGCCTCTGGCTCTTTCCGTAACTGGTCTCTCCTTTGACCAATCGGAGTTGCCGATGTTTGGTTTCTACCCCACCTTAGACATTACGCGTCCGGCGGAGATAGCACCTCAACAGAATGCGAATTCTTCGCTTTCTCCCAGCATTGGCTACAGTCTGACGAGTTTTCTACCTTTGGGTAATGCCGACCTCTCGACAGCCCTGCGGTCATCTCCTGCCGGTTCTAGCGATGACATGGCTGAGATACATGGCGCCTTCGCTGGTGTCAAGGTTGGGAAGTGTACTCATTCGGTTTAGATGGGACGCATGAATCTATTTGGCGGTCTGTTGTAACTGCATAGGAACTCTAGTCGGTTGGCAGAAGTGACAGTAAGAGAATGGTGTGATTTAAGCATGCGAAAGTTAAGAAGTCCACAAATGAAGCGTAACAGTAGCCGATTTACCATGAGCGGCAATGTTCCTGTTCCGTCAGGTGAGCCTCAAAAAGTCATCTGCATGGCTCGGTCTGGTGCGCGACACCCTGGCAACAGCCGTTGCTGGTGCCTGCGCTCTCGACGGTCGCGATTTAGCTGCGCGTAATCAACTTGATCATGATCGAGCGGCTCTCACCCGATCCGCTGGCTGTATCCCCGAGGCGGAGCTAAAGGCGCGACTGGCTGTGATGACGACCAGTGGCGCGTCGCTGCTCATTGTCGGTGGGGATGGACGCGACCAGTGCCTCCTTGTGTCCGCTTTGGTGCAGGTCATCCTCTCTCCCGCTGTGCGAACTATCAGAGGGTAAAGTAAAAATGTTTTTTACAATTAATACCCAACTTCTGTTTCTTTTTCAATACTTTAATTCTGGCGTATGTAACTTTCTGCTAATTGGTTGAGACCTGTACTTTAAACGTTATATTCGATCCATCTCTAAAAGCATGATAACGCACATAGGTTCTTGAGCATCATACAGTGGAATTGAGGGATCAGTGGAAGAGCTCCCTTCCATCGAGTTGTGGAAATGAACGCCATGCCAGAGTGGAAAACTAAGGCTTACTTGTAAGTTGCTTAACGAGTAGTAATTTTACAGATTTGAGGCTCTCATACAAAGAGAATGGATATCCGCCGGACACGCCTTTTCGGAGCGTTGTTCGCACCTCCTCACACAGTCCAGTGACTCTATGCTCACCGTAGCTGCGCCCGTTTTCCTCCTCTTTCTGGATTGTATCTGGCAGGTGTGTAATGGTTTGGCTTGCTACTTAAAGGAATTAAGCAGAGTGTATGCGTTGACTTTCTTGTTGCGGCCCCTTTTTAGATATGGTGCCAGTATCCGAGTTCGTTTGAATTTAATGAGGAATTCCTTCTGTACTTGGTAAAGCATGTCTATGCCTTTGAATTCGGTAATTATTTCGACTCACTTTGTCTCCTTATTTTTTTTTTCAATATTTTTTTCTATTTTGGCCACTGTAGATGGTAGAAAGAGTTGTCCCTCTAGCATTGATAACTCACCGCAGGACAATTCTTTTAAAGAATTACAAATTAGAAACTCCGCACATTTTTGTGATTAGTGTTAGCTTTAATGTGCTTCAGACGCCTTAAAATTCTGCACGAACTTCTGACATGAGATGAGCCGTAGACTTACTTCTTATTTATATCTTGCTTCAAAAGCCTCAAATTTATTGTCTCAAATACTAAATTCATAAGCTTAATGCTTCTTTTCTGTAGGCACATTTCTGGGAGATTCGGATCAGATGAGGGGATCTCTAAGGCTATCAAAAAATACAGATTCTTTTTGGTACGTTCAAAAGTATCCATCAGGAGGATACATTTAGTGTAATATCCTCGATAAAGTCGAAAAATGAATAATTATTTTCTCTCACCAGGTCACACGTCAATTCTGATGACGTTTTATCGAAGATTCGAAATTGCCTCTATTCCCCACCCAGTCAAGATGCAGACAGCGAGTCACTATCCTGCTGGCCATGTCTTTCACCCCAAGCTCTCGTACGTTTACTGAACCGCCTTTTCCATGGAACTCCCACTTTTTTATTGTTGCCCAGGTTTACTTACTTACGACACCGAACCTTGCGAGGTCAACTCCGATTTTTTTAGTGCAACGCCATAACAGTGGTGAATTCACTTCTCTTCTAGAACATTTGGAGGGAAGTCTACCAGAGAGTGGTTTTGCCCTACCCCTGTCGAATTTGGTCCGATCGACGCGAGGCCTTAGTCGACGCCTACGCGGAGTACAGAGAAGCTCTCAGCACGGCTCAGAAACTGGAAAAGTAGATCTTTTTCCCACTAGACACTTTCTTAATGGTTCCAATAGCCAATGAAATCAGTATATGCTTTGGTTCTATAGATGGATTATGCTAAAGTCCTTAAAATGGAAACTAGAACTAGTTCAAGTAAACTAATTGAGTAAATTATTTTTACTTCAGGATCGTGCGTGATTTAATGGACGAGGCCTCAGAGAGGAATCTCCTTCCTGCTAAATAGACCAATTTTACTTCCGTGGCAGGATGTCACATTATTAACATTCTTATCGAACCAACTGCTTTTACGAGAAAAGAAAAGAGTAGACGTGATCAACCTCCATTCATTTATTTTTACAGTGCCAAAGTAACTTTATGAGAGGTGAACATGATTTTACGGTTATTCCTGGTCTTCGTTTTGCTCATCCGTGGGCTCCACAACTACGAAAAGACAAATTTGTGCCTAAGTGGAAATAAGTTGCCAGCAGCGCATGCAACCATTCTGCTTACCACAGTCGTCTCCAATTTTGGCTGTCAGTACAGCATTGATACGCTTCTGGAGGGTTGGCAAGGATTTCAGCATATCCTTGGAGGAGAATATGCCATCATCATTGTCAAGTGGAACAACAATGTGGATATTTTCAGCAGAGCCAGTTTCGTCATAGAGGATGCCGCTGCATTCCATCCGTTTGAAACTAAGCGTCTAGGCCATTCAACAAACAGTCGGGATGCTAAGTACCAACAGGTAGCGAGAATTTTACTACGAAGGAGGCGATCCCGCAGGGGAGGTCGCTTTTAACATTTTACACCCAAGGCCATGAGGTGTGGCAGGTTGATCAATTCCAAAAACTTAAAGATTTGGTTAGAAAGCGAGAATAAGGGTGGGGATTTAGTTGGGTTACTGCACGTAGGTTATGCTGGAACACAAGAGGGGTGATATTCGGGTAAAAAAACTGGCGAATGCCAATTAACGCGATACTAACAGAGGAAAGTAAAAAGGTATGCTTGGTTGCTGCAGTGAACGCAGATTTCAGCAAATAAAAGACCATGAAAACAACGCATCACCTCAAAAATCCCAGTTTACACACAAGTATTTAGTGCGCACGGTTACTTTGTTATTTTGTCAGATACGTTCAAAGTAACAAGGGTAATTAGAACTTAAGTTATTAGAAGAAAGGTCTAGTGCACGTCTAAAAATAGTTGAAAGTTACAGAAGCCAATTAACAGGTGTTAAGACAAATTTTACCCACCGCTCTCTGCTCAGAAAAAGGTTCTTATTTTCGCCTATGTGTTTAACACTATTTTAGTAAAAAAATTTAGTAAATTTAGAGGAAAATAAAAATTAGCGGATGCGAGGATTAGAAGAGCAATGAAATATTATCCTGTTGGTCGCAAGAAAAAAAATTCGGCCCCATTAGTCAAATAACCAATTTAGGAGCCTAATGTTTTTTTCAGTTAACTGGGTCAGTTCGTTTTTCATGATTCCTTTTTGTCCAGAGTTGATTTTTTTCGCATTGTGCCTTTTTTGTGAGCTAATACAAACGCCGAATTTAAAGCTTTAAAACATATTCGCCGAATTTTTTTAAGAAAAAATTTGCAGGATTCGCGTTGCACGGTAATAATTATCAGTCGTTTATCCTCATTGATGTAGCTGTGTTTCGTCTTCACGCCGCTGCATCTTGAGGTCGCTTGCCGTGATGGCCTTCGTGTACAGGTCGCTCGTGAAAGTTGGTGATGAGTTTTGCCCCACCTCTCTGTTGCCAGTTTGGAATCATCCTGCTGGTCCGAAAACTGTCTTTTTCTGGGCTCCCACAGTTAAATGGGTAGGTGGGAGTATCGTCGTCTGCTGTCACTCTTTTGCCATCTGAATAAGTTTTCCCTCGACTTTTAATGTACTTTTACTTTCTTCTCAGGGCCTTGTGATTGCTGGATTGGCTGATCTCACCCGCCCAGCTGAAAGAATCAGTGTTTATCAGAGCACTGCATTGGCATTAACCGGTCTTATTTGGTCTCGCTACTCTCTTGTCATTATACCTAAGAACTGGAACCTTTTTAGTGTCAATATCTTTGTCGCTGGCACTGGCATCTACCAACTATTCCGCGTTTATAGATGCCGTAGAGCTCAAACTAAGCTTCTAGCTTAGTTACGCTTCTTCCCTTTCTTTATCATACACATCGGTAGTTTTCTTTGAAGTCGCTATTCGTCTTTTGACGCCCCAGAGTATGGTCCCCATTTACTCTCTTCTGACTAGTTTTTGCCCCAGCTTTGCTTACTCACTTGCACTTTCCGATGTGAATAAAGTTAGCTGTCTTTTGCTTACCTTTCATTTTCCAATTCACTCTGACAATCCCGTTGTCACTATCGTTAGTAATTTAGGGAGGGGGACGGTTTCAGTTGTCGTATGCGTTTTCAGTATTGAGAACGGTAAGCAGTGACAAAGTAATTGCGTGGGGAGTGATTTTTTTGGCCCTTGCTGGCTTTTGCACACTTTTGTTGACATAGAATTTGTATGAACACGTCTCGTGAGCCCAAATGAGGTCGCAATCTTTTCCTGTCTTGGAGCTGGTCCTGCGTGCTGCTTAACCGTATCACCTTGGTTTCTTTTGAAAATGGGCCGTCAATAGTTGAAATAAGTACCCTTCTGTATGGGGTCTGAATTGAGTCTGTGCCGTCTGGTGAATGTACCCGCTTGAACGGTCGGTTAAGTGAATGACGTTAAAATGCTTTCTAGGGATTCACTCACCTCCTTCTAGATCAAAGTTATGCCCCTGTGTTTTGGTATCAGAGGGGTCATTGTGACTGTCTGTGGTGTGCACTGCGGGCGTGGCGGATGGTGGTAATGCTAGCGCTTTTTATCTAAATTGATTCCTGAGTGCTTGTTAGGGCTTGAATTTGGTGACATCGCGTCCAGTTAATGAAAAGCGTAAACTCAGGAATTTGTCCAGCAAAAGGCTTAGGTTTTTGAGAGTTCCCGCTTTGCAGGTAGTCTCCTTCTGCTGTTTTCTCAAAGCATCATTTCGAGATACAGCCAACTGAGGTTTTGCTTCCACAATGTATGCAAGTTCTTCAAAGCCTACCCACAGATTAGCATTGCTTCATGTAGTGACAATGAAGTGTCGGCAAGTGTCATTCCCAGAGTGAGATGTGATAATCTTCAAGAGAAATCTAAGAGATCCCACCGTCCTTCGGCCCAAGCCATCTCAGATTTGTTTTTCTGTTTTATCTGCACCAGTGCGTACGAGATGCACGGTCTGAGCGCCCTATCATCTTAAACTAGTACCGATTGCATGTCGCATATTCGTGGCGCTCTTCGTGCAACACATTCTTGAAAACTATATAATAGCAAACTAATATTTCAACTAATCGGTAATATCCCCACACACTAAATTGATGAGTTATATGGAGTAGAGATGACTGAAAAATAGTGTTTTGAGGTTTCATGCAGACGAAAATAAAAACTCGAGGTGGAATTAAATGCTTTGAAATGATTTGGTAACTTTTAAACCATGTTTTTCACTAGGTGGGCACTTCATTTTCTCGAGGTTGACCTTTCACTCTGTGACATAACCTTCAAGTGTTATCAACAGTTTTTCAGCTCCCCTCTGCGCTTCTGCCCCATGGTTACGTGCAAAACTTCAAACTGTCCCGACCTCGAGGGCAACCCGGAGCACTAAAACTAGGGGAGAAAGTTACATTTTGTGAATCACATCACAAGGACTGTATGAAGTTATTGGGTCATTTAGCATATGATTGTTCCACATTTACCACTTTCGATGCAATTCGGATGGATAACTTATTAGGTCAAATGTATTTCCCATCTATAAAAGCTTCACCATGACAAACTGATCGGAAACAGATGGGCCTTGACTATTCCGTCTTTATACTTGATTCCGGACATGCTTCTCATGACTACGGCCAAAGGACCTCCTGTAGCGACTCGAAATTAACTGAAGAATACAATACTTGGGCAGAATATGCACCGCCTAAACACAGTGGGGCTTGGGGCTACTGGCATGGCCGAGAGGCAAGGCTGCTTGGCAAATGGATGATGGCGGAGCCCCTACATTGGTCCTCGCCAAAATCAGGAGTTAAAAAATTAATTATCGAATGACCGCCGCAATGACCTCCTCGGCCCTCGATGATCGAAAACTTTGTTGTGGATTTGCATACGACTAAGGATGCAATACCATTTTAAATCAAATGCAGTGGTGACGTCTTCAAATCTTCACCTGTAGATGATATTTTGACACAAATATGCCAACAGTTCCGTCCTGCCAGAAATGCATTTTTCTCGAGTGAATACCATTTGTAAAACAGTATGCATGTTATCTGCCTAGGATGTATTATAATAAGCAAATTATTTGTCCCACTCTCAATTTTAGCAACAGCTCACTTAGGGCCTCCTCTACTGTGTGGCCTGACCTCCAGGACATATTAGTAGACTTAAACCTTGCTATACGCCTACAATACATATTACACCCAGAAAAAATTCATTTCTTCCTAAAAAAGTACTAAGACAGTATGTATACTTGGGGGGTATATAAAATAGCCATGAAAACACTGATAACTCGTGAGGGTGATAACTGCATCACTAATCGTAATTAGCGTATTAAAACTTTTTAAAAACATTTTTTAGCAACTGGGTTTAAAGGCAAGGCCCTATGCAATGGTCTGAAATTATAGGTAATTCTAATTCATGTCATTTTTGTTTCACTTAAGTGAACACTAATGACTTGAGCCGCTCATATTACAAAACTAAGGTCAACCTGTCGGCTTCGGTCTTGAGTCGCTGGTACGGGCTGTGGTACATTATCTTCACCTCATAGATATGGGAATCATTTGAAACAGTTTCTCAGGACTGGATCTACGGAAGACGATATGTCGTTGAATATTACAGAAGTCGCTTTGAATAGAACTATTGGAAATCCTACCAATGACTTCATACACAATTCAACAACATTTATATCGAACGATTTTCTGTTTTTGGAAACCAAAACGGCCCAAACATTTGCTGGTATAATGGCTTCTTTAGCTATTATCATTACCTCTCACCAGGTAACTTTTTCAATATTTATGCAAGCTGGCTCCTAGATCTACCTTCATATCGTTAATTATACAGCACCAAATGAGCAGAGGTGGATTGTTAGGATTCTCTTCTTTGTTCCGCTTTATGCGTTTCAATCATGGTTGAGCCTCATGTTTCTTAGGCACCAAGATTTCTATGTATATTTCGACACTATTCGGGACTGCTACGAAGGTGAGCATTCCTATCTATGGAATTGGGTGTTGTCTAAATAAGTAACGATTATGCACTTTTTATTCGGATATTGCATTCATTAGTTAAGTAATTGTGGGCCAACGATCGTGAATTGTGCTGGTAGTTTACTAACTTGCGAGTTATTAGCACCATGGTTAAAAAGGTTTGCTCTTATTTTGGTCCCTAAAAAAGTTGTAATTCCCTGCATGAATGAGATGGGCAAGTTTTTTCCAGATACAGTAGTTTTTTCTTGTACTCTGGTCAGATGCAATGAACCTCTTTCTCTCTTTCGTATTAAGGCACTCCTTTTAAATAATTAATAATCTAATGCTAACTTGTTTATTTGTGCCAGTCAGGAACAGATTTTTTCTTACAACCAGTATGCCTAAATACTCGAGATCGTTCTGGCATTATGGCTGTAAAAGGCGTGTTTTTTTCTTCAGCTTTCCTCTCTTGATTTCATTATGCAGACCTTTTATTCCCCACCTGGTATGGTTGATATCCTTGATTGGAGCATGATTTAACAAATTAGCTTTAATGGCTCATGCTCTCATGCCTCGCCCACAATTCTACTGTGGCCTTGCGCACGCCAGAAATTGCGTCTGAATTACTGATTGGTTTGCGTCGAGAGGGGAAAGGGCTAATCAATTGGCCAATCGAAGTCGTCTCAGGGGTATTCCTTGCGCAGGCACCCCGATTGCTCTAATTTTTGGAATTAGGGGTTTCACACTAATTGTTTTTTTGTGTACGATCAGAATCCGCTTTTCTTCAGTTAATTTCCAAAATTCGTAAAAATTTTTTCTTTTTTAGCTTTTGTGATATACAGCTTCCTCAGTCTCTGCTATGAATATCTGGGTGGCGAAAGTTGTATTATGGCTGAAATACGTGGGAAGGAAATACCGTTAGTGAGATCGAATAATTAAATCGTTTTATTTATTTTCCGTAAAAATCACAAATGCAGTTAATCCAGTGCTTGCATTTCTGCAATGTTTTTTTCCTTAGGTTAAATGTTGTATACTAAGAAAGGTACTACCCTCTTTAAAGCGAATAAAATTGTTTATTTTGGAAGCTTAATATTTTATGGCAACTTTTTTTCTTAAAAGTCACGATCCACGCTTTAAAAGTACGGAATCCAGCTGGGATTTTTGCATTATTTGAGAAATACGGTTTCACTTGTGGCTCGTTACCTATTGAATTAAAAGTTGAAACATAATTTATGGAATCAAGCCTTCATATGTGTAAAACTAGATATTTTAGTTTATTTTTGGTCTTATATTCATTTCGGAAGCACACATTTTGTATTTCTGAACTTAGAATATCCACGCCGTTTTTCGCTCTTTAAAGCCTTTATTAATAATTACATTTGTTAAGTTTTATAATCCCAAGTTCTTAGTCTTGAGGGTCTCATGAATGGAGTGACCACTTTGTACATGAAACTGGCCATTTCTACTCGAGTCTGTCCCGAAGTTTGTTTGAATTTGCACTTAATATTTACTTGTTATCGTGTTTAACTTCCGCCTTCTCGTAGCAAGCCAACTTTTTAATTCTTCAGCTACTCCTGGGTCTTCTGTACCTGTTGCTTTTCCGGTCAGGTCTTCACAATCGGTTTCCTGCGATTTTGCAAACAGGTGACGCATCTAATCTTTGCACTGCATTTCTACTTATTTTTCATATGTTGTCAGTTTATTGTGCTTTTGTTTAAGGCCACTCTCCAATTCTGCCTCGTGAAGCCTCTAATGGCAATCGCCATTATTATCATGCAGCTTACTGGCGTCTACAAACACGGTGTTTGGAGGTGAGCCGTCAGTTAAATTTGTTCTACCTAAATAACTCTGATACCGGCCTGATAACTTACCATTTGGGAATGGAGTAATTCCAATGAGTAGATGAGGCATTTTCCTTCCTTTTCCCTACAGTTGGTCTAACGGTTACTTCTACACAACCATAATTTACAACGTCTCAGCTTTTCTGGCGCTTTATGCTCTAGTTCTATTTTACCTGGCCACAAGTTCAATCCTTCGACCCTTCGATCCAATCATCAAGTTTGGCATTGTAAAGTCCGTCGTGTTTCTGTGTTTTTGGCAAGGTCAGTTAAAGTTGTCCAACTAATAAATTCGAAACTCAGATGGATAAACTTTTTTCCTTCTATTGATTGATATTTACGCGGGATCATAGTGTTATTTTAAAATGGAGCTCCCCTTTTACAAGTTTTAGCTTTTGCCTACTGCCAAGTTTTCGCAAGGTCTTTGTTAAGCGCGAAACGTGCTACTGAAATCGCTGCTTTTTATATTCGTAGGCAATGCCATCATACATAGAAAAGTTTATTTCCCAGGCGTATATTTCAAAAATGAAAGACCAAATCATGGTTTTACCTGAATTTGCTGCTAAAACACGTGTCTACGCGTCAGTCACTGCCGAACACCTTCCGCTGATGCTAGTAGACACTGACTCATGGGTTGTGTGAAAGTATTCCTTTTTGTAGGAGTAATTTTGGCGATTTTGGAAAAGACGGCTGTTCTACCAGCCCTGCCCTACACTAATGTCGGTACGGTTGCCGCGGGTATTCAAAACTTTCTCATATGCTTTGAAATGCTTGCTGCAGCAATAGCACTCCGCTACGCCTTCCCACACATCCTCTACTCGGTTGGTGTAAACACGAGGCGTCACTATGGCGAGATCGATGAAGACGATGACATTGATGTTGGTAATGGGTCGACAGGTGAGAAATGCGGACTTATGGGTGGAAACGTTTGGAAGAACGACGACAACGTTGTCAGTGTTGGTAGGTTTCAAAAATACCTAGTAGCCTAGATGCCAAGCTATTTATCTTTCTAAACGTTTTTCTCATCATTTAGGCCGTCCAAGTGGTTTGCATAATTTGAAAGACACCTTTAATCCCCGCGATATGCTGCGAGATGCTTTTCACAACTTTCATCCCACTTACAGGCAATATACGGAACAGGTATGATTTAGGGGGTAACTCTGCTACTTGTTATTAATTAAGTAGGATTCTCTTCCTGAAAGGTTTTAATTAGGCTTTCTCGTGGGGGTGGACTTAGCTAAAAGTGCTACCGCGGTTATCTCGCATTGTTAGCGTAAATGACTTAAACGAGAGTAGGGTGGATAATTTACATTCCTCTTTGCGGACATAAGTCGATATAATCTGGGTGGGATCTAAAGAATTCCGCTTTATTCCTTTCCTTAATCGGCTACCAGTCGTGTGTGTATCTTGTTTAACCCAAAAGAACCCAAGGCTTGTTTAAAATTCTGATGAACCTCTTAGAAATTTAGGATTTCTCAATGCTTTGTACTTGGACTTTTATTTGTTTATTCATACAAATGCATTTATCGTGTAAAAGGAGCATTGTTTAAACTTCTATCCATTTGCTAATTTACTTTTCAGGATGATTTGGGATGTTTTTCACTAGCAAGTACCATGAGTTTTTGTCAGGAATCTTACTACAAGCCTTTTTTTCTAGAGCAACTTTTCAAGTACTTTTTTACTCGGCTCTTTATCTTATCCTGAGTGTTCATTAGTTTTTGTTAAATAGTGCCAATGCTTAGTCAATTTACTTAAAAGGGGTCATTTAGCATGTTTGCTACCAACTTCGCACTCGTGTTACCCCTCAAATTCCATAATCCCCCCCCCCCGACGTCACTAATATGTGACATGTGCTACTTATCGGTTAATGGAAGCACATCTTGGATATTGCTCATTTTGAAGAGATCTTTGGAATTCAAGATTGCTACCGAAATAGATTTTGGGTGGTGTTCGTGACTGGGGAAGGTGACTGCGCTTTTTACACCTTAGCAGCCCAACCGTCAGCAGAGCTTCCTTTTTGTACATTTTGGTGGTTGCCATTTGTCCTAGGTCTTTATTTTTTCCTACTGTATCACTTAAATGCAGTATGCATTGTGTGAACAGTAAAATTCGTTGAAAATGCTCTTGTTGTCTTTAAACAAGCGAAAGCATTTGGAGCACTCGTCAATCAAGGAAAAACCTACAGTGAGTCCGCCCAGCACTACACCGGCTCCGCCAATCCCACCTGTTCCACCGAGTGGTGTCAATCTCACAGGCGGAAATCACAGTAACCATACTCATCAACAGGTCAAATCCCCTCCCGACCGTCTTTCCACCTAGTTGCTTCACTCCCAGCATTCCTTGCCGGCATCATCACCATCATCGTCCACCACGACCTTGTTATTTGTTCACAGATTGTGTGATACCTCAAAACATCTTATAGTTATTTTTTCCATAATTTTAGAGCCAATTACAAACCAGATTAGTGCATTTGCTTTAACCTATGTGTACGTGTGTGTGTGTGTGTGCTTGTGCTGTCCCATTTGACATTCATATTGTGATGGTGTTCTGTGATTCCCTTTTTTTGAAGATTGTAAATGTGTGCTTTCAGTTATTGTGGCTACTTTTCTTGTTGAAGTACGAGTTTTCCTCAGTCTAATCAATCCACCAATGGTTTGATACAATGATTTTAACTAAAAATTGTCGTAAACTGCAAAAAAAAGTGGAAATTGCTTCAAAATCATGTTTGTGACCTTGAGGCATTATTTTTGACCCCTTTGAGGTCGCCAATATCTGGCAGCATTAGGGAAGTGGTTAACGCGATTTGTTTCTTGTTTTCAGGAAAAAACCATCATTTTGCTAATTTTAATAAACGTTAAACGATTTGAGGCAGGTGGGGAGAAGTCCCCTTACCTAATCTAGAGTGGGCGTGCTTGTTCTGGTTGACAGCTGCCTCATTCTATAAAGAGACTCAAGTCGCTCCATCCAAATGGCTGGCGCTCCAAAAAAGGTGTTTTCTGTGCAATAGGCACTCAACTTCCACGTGTCGAAACACGCAGCTAAAAACAGGAGTACCTATTCCAAACCTCAAATGTTACCCACTAGTGCAATGCGTATTCTCCAACTAGGTTTATAACCACGAAAAGAAAGTTTAGATGCTACTAATTTTTACCGAAGTTTATGGTGGGAGTGGACTCCAAGAAAATTGTTTGAGAGGCGTTTACTTTAAGTCGAGTGATTTTTTCTCAGGGTTATTTCATGCTTTAACACGTCCATAAGCACTTCGTCTCGGGACAGCCGTAAAATTCTACCCCTCACCCCTTATGTCCCGTCCCCCCTCTGAAGTGGTAATAAGGCCTGTCTGTGTGGGATGGTTTCTCAGCCGACAGGGTGGGGACATGGGGTGTGGAGACAGGAAAGCAATTTCGTCGGACGGTAGTTTAAACTGTGGTGACAGAGACGTGCATTGAAACAGGTGTCGCATCACCACCGACGAAAAAAGCCCGCACCTATTCTGCAACAAATTGGTCTTTGTTGAAAGTTGACATTTAACAATGAGGGCTCTTCATCCTTCGTGGTCTTCGTCTTGCAGACTTGTCTCCCTGCAGACGTACAAATAAGTGTTTTGGCCTGTTACTGCCCCATGGAGGACCCGGTGTGGCACACAGCCCACCTCACAAGAACAAGTACCTGATCCACTAAAAGAACACTTTATTTCTCAGCTCATAAAAATAGTTGATTAGCATAAACATTCACATTGTCGAAGTTACTTTTTTCTTAATGCAAGGATAAAATGCTTATTTTGGATATTTTTTTAAAATCTTGGAAGAAGTGGCTCAAAGCAATGGGCAGTTATATCAGCGAAAGTGGGCGAAAATGCTGACGACTACAAGAAATTGGGATTTTCATGATTTGAGGAGAGGAAACTGCTTGACGCGTCTACCTCCTGCTCTTCGATTGGTTCGAGGCCGCCTCTGGTGAGGCCAACGCGTTGTGGCTGCTGCAATAATGTAAGTCGCGGACGATTTGAAGTTGGCGACTCTTCAGGTGAATTTGTATTTCCTAAAAAAAGGGATTTTTTCAAGATGTGAGTTTAGTTTATTAGTCTACTGCCATGAGTTGCATATGTTTGGGTACAGAAATGGGAAGACTACGCTCCCTCCTGACTACTGGCGATCATAATGCGAGGGCTCAAGAAGGCGGGGACTTCAGAACAGAAGTTTTTTTGCCGCTACAATGTTGTATGGTGCTCGGAGTACTGTTTGTAGTCCTGCATTACTCAGAAATCCTCAACTCTATTTTTGACTTTACGATTAAATACTTGGACTCTTCATTCTTCTGCACCATAACTTTGAGTCCATGCCTCTAGCTTAGTGTAGATCTTTCGACCAACTCGAGGTGCTAAATCAGCAGCAGTGGTTGGCAAATCCGATCCAGCAGTCTTGAATACTGCTTCTAAAAGGCATAGTAGGAGGACATCTGCAGGCTATGACTGCATCAGAGGCGGGACTCAGCAGGCCGGTTGCTGAATCCACAAATACCTTTGCCATGAGCTCTAACCCCAGGTTCTATCACGTGACCATTAATGACTGAAATCAAATCAGATTTTAAGTTGGATTTTAATAACACTTAAATGAAAAATTTTGAGCTGAAAATGTGAAATTCCCCCTTGTCATGATGTCTTTCGACATGGGGTTCCATGAGAAACCAGCAAAAGGTGCTACGTATGCAACACTGTGCAAATTTCTGCACTCAATCTCAGATGAGTCTCTCCAGTTCACTTCGCCTCTCAATGATCGTGACATTTACGAATTTAAACTTAGCAAGTCGTATTCTTATCTCACAGTTGGTTGAAATTTACAGCAAGACTCATGACGGCTGAAGCAGAAGAGTGGCTGTAGTGAACTCTGTAGTCGGCTTTCAAATAAAGAAATGGAACTAATCAGTAAAAAGATGCTCATTTCAGTTGTTTGTTCAACTAAATGAGCTCATAAGGTTTTGTAGACTTTGGCCTCCACCAAAGAGCCAGAGCCTCTCAACCGTACTTATAACTACCCAGCCATTCTATGTTAGTAATGTAATGTACCTAATCGCAACTTCAGAAATGCCTCAGTAGACATCTCTCTCGTAACCCTTATTTCCCTTTGCTGTCTGGATAAGAGACAGAAAAAATATTTGCCACGATTTGATTGGTCCAGTTTTCACCACCGGCTTGAATGTCATTGGTTGAAATTTAGAAGGTATACTATAAAATCGGCAAGCGCGCTTACTTGAGTCGCCGCAGGCGTTGAAGTTTAATTCACCGGTGTCAAGACGTGTATAATTTGGTATTTGTGGCATCACAGGGGCGAAAAAATTGACCTTCTGACGGGGCATCTGTAGATTTGACGGATTGGGGGAGTTGATTGGTGGAGGGGGCGGTTCAATGGTGTTCACTTGGATATACTAAAGCAGCGTTAGGCATTTACAATTGCTTCAAACGTCCTCCTCAACATTTATAGTGCAAATTGTATCTTTTATCTAAAGCTTACCTGTGATTTAAGGAGAACTTCATTCCCGAGCATTATTTTGCGTTTTCGCCTAAGAAGGGAGATAAGAAGGTAGGTAAAATACCTAACATAAAATCGACTTTGGGATATTTCTTGTTTACTACATCGTCATAAAGGTGAATATGAGAGCTAACAAAAATCCGACATGCTACTAACGATGTGAAAGTAGAATGAGGCAAAGTTGTATGTAATAAAGTGATATTCAAATTTGGCGAATTAATTACCGTTACAATCTTCACTTCCCTCTTATCGTGACCCACAGCCGCTAAGGCTTGTCATTAGGCGTAAAGAAACCAGACCCATGCATCCCGCAACAGTCACAGCTTTATTTCCCACCAGTCTAGTCTACTTCGCATGTGACCTTGCAGTAGCCTAGTACGGCTAGGTGAAGGTGGTGACCCCCTTGGAGGGAGTATGGAGAACGAGAGTGAAGTTGAAGAGGAGGCAGGGTTAACCTCCCTCTCCCGCCCTCTCGCCCAAAAAATTCAATCTCTCTTCTATTGCATACAAGTAAGCAATCCCATGCGTTTGAAAAAAAGGAATTTTTCCAAACTCTTTTTACAAATTGTCTTAATAAGGACCTCAAAATTAAAGCACATTCTGCAGGCTTTCCACTCTACACATCCAGAAGTAGAAAATTTTATTTTTTAGTCTACAAATTCGCCTAATTGTGGGTGATGCATGAAGTGTGAAAAATTATTCAGTTTTCGTATTTCTAAAAAGGCGCTTTTTTAATTTGAAAGTTTTGTGAAATTAAAAAAGTGCTGTTAGATTACAATTCCTTCGGTAAATAGTGAGGTGTGCTGTCGGTTGCTGATTGACTTAAAACAAAGAAAGAAGCAACTTATCTCTTGAATTTTAAAGAGATTGAGTGAAACAAGCAAAATTGTGGGCTTAAAGGATATGTAAGTTACTAGTTCCTCCATTTTGATTGAATATGTTTAAGTTAAAGTGGAAGTGGATTGCTGACTGACTGACTGACTGTGACTGACTGACTCGGGTTGAGAAATGGCTTTCGCATATTGCTACAAGACTTCATTGAGCGAACAAAGACAACCTCGGTAAACCCTGGCGATTCACTTGCTGCCCACTGCCTGCCTCCAGAGCAGGTGTCACTTCATTCCCGTAAGGCTGCGCTCGCTTTGTCTGTGTGTACTGAAAACGCAATTTTCTACTTGGTGACAGCCGAAAAACTACTATGGCAGAGGTGCACATACTCAAAGCCGATACAGCTGGATAAATTTCTTCTTGAGAAACAGCCAGGAGGTGGAGAAACCATCGAAAGGAGGTCATATTCCTGTAACGAAATGCACAACCGCGGATGCGTTCCCTACACCACTGAAAAATATACGTGAAAGGACTTGAGCTTCTGGGGGAGGGATGGAGCTGGCCTCATCCCCAGTCTCCGTTTTACCTGATGACATTCCTAAAGGCAAAACTTACCCCTCTTCCCTAGTACAAGTGAACACCTACAGCGGTTTTCAAAGCTAAAACTCCTCTGAGTCCCGAAATTTTTTTTATGTTTATGCTTCATTTCTTTAATGCTTCCGTCTCATTTTCTAAAACCTTGCAAAATAAACGCAAAGGAGAGTTTATAAAATCCGAAATGGTTAAAAATGCGCAATTCTTCTTCTTTCTGTTTTGAAGCACAGTCATCAAGCCTTACATGTAAACATTATATTTCCTAAGTTCGCTTCCCTCAGATTCAAACATATTTTGGAAGAACTTTGAAAATAAACCTATTTACGATTTAGAGGCACATGAGTCAGTTATAATGGGGGTTAAGTGAATTAAAAAAGGGTGAAAGTGGCTACTCACTTGGCACGCAGATCTTTGCGTCGAAAGGCGAGGATAATTCCAACCACGATCAGACCGAAGAGGCCAAAGAAGGCGAATTGGAGAAGCGTTTGCAACCAAATGGTGTTCGCATTTCCCACGGACATTGTTGAAAAAACTGGGCGAAAGGTGGTAGGGGAGAAGGGTTTTTATAAAGGGAGATAAAATTCATTCGGGTCAAACTGCTTGTTTGTGTTGGGATCTTGATTTTCAAGACATTTTATTAGGTTTCTAAGGCAGTACAGTGAGAGCATTTAAAGTCATTTCCCACATTAATCGTCAAAGGGAAATTTTGTAATTTGAGGAGGGTTATTTTGGTAATTTAAAGTGAGAAGGTATGATTTAGGGAGGAGTTCTTAGAATAAATACACCCAAGATAAGGGTAAAAATAATTTTAAATGCATTGACCGTAAGAATAAGCATTTGCAAGAAGCTCAAATGGAAATATTCATAAGTTTTTCAAAAAGGGGCCTAAAAAGGGATGCGATTAAAGTTGTCATTGACTTTTTTTGATGGGGGAGGGGAGAGGAAGGTCGAGAGAAGGCATCAAGAAATGGGTGTCCCTAGGCTTAACTACACGGAGGGCCGACGTATCAGGGGAAATCAGTCCTGGCACAGAAATGACTCTCCCAATCTTCCATCAGTCTACAATACATCAGACCAAAATGACACAGACACTGAAATCCTTGAAATGACAGGTTAATGGGTGAAAAGCACATATGCATCAGGAAATTGTTTTGGAGACAAGTCGACCTTTGACTGATTCATGTAACTACCCGTGAATATCGTCAGTTGCAAATCCTCCCAAAAATAATTGCCTTTTAAAATTTTTACACTTTTTTGGTCTTTTTGTTGTTCCTAAAATTCCTCATTATCAACAAAACTCACCGATTCCACTGGTACGAAATTGGCACTGATCCCCCATGAAACCGTCTTTGCATCTAAAACGGTGGGACATGCATTTAGTTACTTTTTTTGAAGAAAAAAGAACAGTTTTAAGCTTTCTGTTTATTTTAGCTTGTAAATTACTTGCATCTGCGCTCCAGTGGATTCGACTTCTTAGCAAAGCACTCGCCATCGTTGAAACAGTGGTTTTCGTCGGCTGGACAAGGCACCAAATCTCTGGATTCTACGATGAAAAATGTGGCAAATAAAAAAATCATTTTCTCCCTTTCTAAAGTCCAATAATTCTGCAACTTTTTGGTTACACTCTAAGGGGAGAGAAGCCCTCGTGATTAAACTTATAAAAATGATTTTACGTCTTGCGTACTTCTATGCAAGATATCATCAGAGGTTCGCTTCAGAGGTTCAAGGTCTCCAAGTTGTCACATCCCAAGTAGGTTACATGTCTCCTTCTCAATAACCTATGGTACCAAATCATGACTCACAGAGAGCAGGTGGGCTATTTTTGGTCTAAGAATAAGTCTATCCTTAAGTTTAAAGATTGTGAACAACAGTTAAACTACTGACGGGTGGTATCAAAGACGATTACTTGGTAAGGTAGACAAGTGCTTTCGCAGTAGTTAAGGTGGAGAAGAGTTAGACAAACTGCCTTACCCATGGCAATCTCCTGGTCGGTTAACGAGACTCCAGCGGTTGATACTGGAGAAGGGGTGGAAAAAGGTGAAAGCATATTCACTTGCTCCCACACCTCAAACAATTATGCTTTCCTGATAAAAGTGAATTTTATCTTATCAAAATACCAGCTTTTATAACATTATTATAAACACCTAAAAAGAACTCTAGTAGAGACCATCAAAAAGTTCCTACCTGCCCTTGGTGAATAAAAAAAGGCGACAAACCTCGCAATTGTAGAAGCGATTGTGTGGAACCGAGAGGGTTACTCGCTTTGCATACGTAATCGCCGTTGTCCAACAGAACGAGATTGTCTATTTCCAGGATTGCTTCTCTGACGTGACTGCTAGTTCTGCAAAGAATGCAACTCAACAGGGGAAAAGTGATCGCTTACAAATGGCAAAGTGAAAAACTTCTTCAAAGAGGTATTCAAAAATTTTTTTCTTCTCACTTGGTAGTGTAGTGTCACGTGGAAATGTTCAAAGAGCACCTCTAGGAGTCATACTGTGAAATGTGTTTGTTTTTTTTTTTTATCAAACCTTTTAGGGGAAATGGAGAAATGACTTGACAGTTTGTTTAACGGGGTATTTAACCGCGTCTACACTTCTGTAGCTGCAAGAAGGGATTCCGATGTCAGGATAGCCCGCGGGCCCCATCAATAGCCTCCCACGTTTCCCATGCCTTAGGATGTACTATATTCTTCCATACTACTTTGGTCCATTACTATTTTGGGGAAGGGGAGGGGGTCTTGACATGCCAAAAATAGCTCTTTAATTATCCTTGCTTACTTTTATTCGCGAATCCTTACTTCAGGTATAATCTCGTAGTAATTTTTTACCCTCGATGATGATGTCAGATCTTACTAAATCACTCAGAGGTCAAATTTACGCCTGAAAGGTGTTAACTCTTTTAAAGGAAGTGATTTTCTTTTAACATAGTTTGAACGTAATGCATCTCCAACGCAATAAATACCGACTGATGAGTCGGAATTGACATGTGATTCCACATTTGGCAGACGCATTCAAGATTGACATATTGAAGGGGGTGTAGGAATTACTCATTCCTTTATAGTAAAGGAATTGAGATTCACCTTTTATCCTTTCAGTGACAAACATCTAACACAAAAACTTTTCCTCTTGTGACTCTTTATAAGCAATAAAAGGGAAGAAGTTGGGACAATATGCAGTGGACGTTTTCGTCCACAAAAGCCATGCCTCCAAGTCGTAATGCCGGGTTCATCACCTTATTCTTGCACTCAGTTACCACTTTTAGAGTAAAGGAATATTTTACTCATTTATAATGTTTCTTTCCTACTTTCCACAGGTGTTATACGAAAGACGAATCTTGATTGACAATACAACACGGAGAATTGGAGTCTAGAAGAAATTCTGTCAATCTTGCGATAAGGCCTCTGGTGAAGTGTCTCCGAGATACTGATATCGCAACTACTTAGGCGTTTAGTTTTTTCTCTTTTTTTCCGTTAGCAAAGGCACTTCACTCTTGCACTCAATTATTACTTTTAGAGCAGAGGAATATTTTACTCATTTATAAGGTTTTGCTTCTAATTTTAGCAGGTGGCATACAAAAGGCTAATCTTGACTACCAATACAATACGGCAAATTGGAGTCTAGAAGAAATTCTGCCAATCTTGCGATGCTGCCTCTGATGAAGTGTCTCCGAGATGTTCACATTCCAACTACTTAGGCGTTCAGATTTTCTCGCTTTTTTCCGTTAGCAAAAGCACTTTTGCCACAACAGGTTCTACGCAAATATTCAAGGTAAATTAAAGGGTTGTGTTATTTAATGCTTTAGCAAAACAACTAAAAAAATTTGAGCCTCATAAAGTCTTTTTTAAATTAAATAGCTTTAATTCTGTGGTGCATCTTTAGAGACGTGTAATGTCTTGATTTTTCGCTCCTGATACTTTTTAATCAGTATGATGATAGTTAAATGAACCGATAGATCTTCAATTTTATGTTGGAATCACAAAAGCCTCCCAACAAAGTATCTAAAAATTGGTAAAATTGTGGACTTACTGAACAATTTCCACCCTGACATTACGACCATTCGCCGCTATGTCAACGGGATAACTGTCTTTGTACCACATTACGTGTGGCAACGGATCTCCATTCGCCACACAGGTGGCATTGAAATCCTCGCCAAAAGGAAGAATTTGCGGCTCAAACGTATTCACTTGTGGGGAGTCTAAAGCATACAGAACCGACCAGTCAGAATACGGATAATTTAAAATCATCTAGAATTAGAAAAATGAAAGAAATTTCCAAAAAGTAGACATATAATCACTGATTTGACAACACCCCTTTTGCTTAAGCACTTTTTTTAGATCAGAGATAAATTTATGGGAATTTTTTACTAGAGATTTCACAACACTTGCGTTTCCAATCTGGTACTGACAAATTTTTAGCCTACAAAAATGTCAATCAAAAATCTGTATCAGTATTTAGGCATCATGACATTTTAGCTGTATTAAAAATCTTCACATAGGTGATCGAGTAATAGAAGTCCCTTCCTCACTTCCCAAATAGCTTTGTTAGTGTAAAATTTTCCTTAACTTTTGAAGAGAACCAAATCGCGAACATCAACACACTTGGACCCATTATGTGAAAACTAGTTTGGCCTTTAAAAGTAAAGAGAGAAGCTAGTAGCCCTATCCCTTATAACAATCTGTCTTTTTGATGCTTGGGATAGTACTTATGCAAGAAATCAGCCGGCACTTTCGGATAAACCTTTTGAGGAACCTTTGACTTACTTTTACCACATTTTTGATGCAATGTCTACTTAACCTGTCATTTACTCCATTCTGCGAGCCGTCCGATCAACAACATCGCTCTTTGTTAAGAATTGAGCTAACGCACTCCTTTCAATCAGTTAATTTAATAAAACTAAATAAAATTGGTGTAGTTAAATGTAATTTTTTTGTGATTTAAACTTATACCTCAACCGGAGAACTACTAAAGCACACAACATTATTTAGCGTATGATTAATTTCCTTTTCGCATTTTTCATGCATCAATTGCAAAGGTCACTTATAAACAACAAAACGGAAGTGCTTACAGCATGTTCTACATAGATATTGTAGGATTTCGGCCGTCACCTCTTCGCTGAAGGTCAGCGACGGTCCAGAAAGAGCGAAGACAGGCAATACAATTCTTCGCTGAACCACGATTTCTCCCGTATCCGCTAACAAGAAGGTGTACTTTGCATTTGGTTTGAAGGCCTCCAAACAGCCGAACCTTTGATGGAATGAATCAAAAGTTGAGCCGGATGAGGGGGAAGAAGAGGATTTGTTTGAGGGTATGAAGAAACGTCGAAGCGCCACCCTCGGAGGTATATTAACACCTGCAGGCTTTGCCAGGACTTGAGTTACTAGAATTACTACGTCAAATTCTTGATCATCCTTTAGTGGGATCATCTCCTGAAGCCGAGCATGTAGAACGATGGAGGAAGTAGATAGATACTGACGAATCTCACTTGCTTTTGGAGATGGTGCACATTTGGGAGCCTCAATGGCATCCAAAAGGCATCGAAAAGGAGTGAAAAGTACGACTAATACAAATATTGCTATCATGTTCCAATATTCTGTTTTGGTGTCTGTGTTTTACCACTGTGAGGCCATTCGTAGTGATGAAGTCAAGTTGAGAGCTCTTATATGCGGTGCGGAGGCGCCATCTGGCGCTACTTTGATAGGTCCAAGCCTTCTCTTTGTCATTCTCTCTACTTTCCATTAGCTGAAGAATTTTCACGTGTGTGTTTGTGTATGTGCTGACGGAATTACGCAATTATGACTTTCTTCTCGTTGGGCACCCCGTGCCAAGCCAGCTGCGCGCGCTTAGGTATTCCTCAAATTGCCTGGCACGATGTACCAACCCCTGCTGACTCATCTTACATACCTGAGAGCAATTAAGCAGCTTATGCATGATAATTTCATAAACAGTGTAACAATTTATCATGTACTACAATAGGAGCATGTGTCTATGCATGAGTCAAAATTAGGGTGTAACTTTTTTTCCTACTTTTATGAGAATTTTTACCATTTTAACTAACATTTCCGTGCGGCAAATTTTTGGACTTTTACAATTGCCAGTCTTCTACGCGGTAGGGAGTGGCGGATAAAAGAAACCGATCGATTTTATTGATTCCACAGCCGTTAATGCTAAAGTGAGTTGTGATTGGGCGGGGTTAAAAAATCAATTTATTCTGTCGATTTTGTCCTCTACCAGGCCAAATCAGCCATTTTGTCCAGTTGACTAAATGGGCTTATCGAGTCAAACGAAAGAGTGGGCATGTTGAGCCCTATAGATATAAGCCTGAATTGACGGGAATTGGCATAAAAGGGCGAAAAAATGTGATTTACGCAGAGGATACATTACGTAATACCTCATTTATTCCAATTCAATATAAAGGGAAAAGTTCCTGCTACGCATTAGATATCACTGAAAAAATTCTGCGGATCAGGTAAGGGGTCGTCTAAAAATGTTTTATTTTTGAACGGAGATGTATTTTGTGCTTTTCTAACCTAGCTTTTCCATCTAATCACACAACGTAGAAAAAAAGTCTTGCCAAGTTATTGTAATTTAGTAACTATTATATCCTGATCGATGGGGTTTGAGACAACAATCAAGGATTTAAAATTTAACCCTTTCTACTCACATAAAAACCGTATTATTAAACCCGCTTTCTTAATAAGAACTCCTAAAGTAGACCACGTGGTGCATTATTCGCTCAAAAAATTGACAACATAGGCTCCAGTGCCCTCTTGACTTGAAGATCACTGCTTCAGTAACGCAAGCGCCACACCCACTAGCCAATGGTGAAAATTTAAGGTCTATCACTGAGTAAACCTACTCCGAAAGGCAAGTACCCAACAAAACGTGAACACTCACTATTGCAAATCACTCGAATCACTACACAATGGAACGTGTGATTGTGGAAAAAAGGAAGTATGTACTTTGTTGGGTGAAAATGGGTTGCCGGAAGAATTCGTTCCTGTGGGAACGACCCAAACTGCGTATTTTAAGCCCATTTCTTTCGCCACTCTACAATCTCCGTCCTCCGCCCACGCTAATTACAACAATAACTCACCCAAGGTACCACCAAACACCATTTTCTAAGAAAAACATCAAAATAGCCATTTTTTTTGACAAACATCAGACTTACACGTATAAACAAAAGATCTGAGGAGTTTTACCTGACTATAGCTGTGTCATCGTTAAATGTAGAAGGGGAATCATGTTGGAGAACAATTTGCTTGAAGAAGGGAAAAGTTAGTCATCACCTAAGTGGTCATTTTTGGGTGCAAATCTTACAATGCTTACCCATTTCGGTTACGGGTATTCTGCAATGCGCCAAAAGTTGAAGAAGTGGTCTATAAGTCGACAGCTGAGCATTACTACACTACTTGTCCTCTCCGCTGGATTTGATAACTCATTGTCATTTGGGAAAGGTGGAAGTATAGACACTTCTCTTTAATCATACCTGTCGAACCCCTCTCCAACTTTTCGTGTGGTAGACGTGACTTTTGCTTGCATCAGGTGACGCGACGGTTTCCGGTGTATTCCACAAATTGTAACTAATACAGTTGGCTCGTCATTTGAGGTAAAGCCGATCAGTGAATGGGTACGGAAAGATTAGACAGAGACGGGTTTGTGCCAAAATGCCTCTGTACGTCTCCTTTACGCCAATAGATGGGGCCAGCTGCAACGATTACGCAAATCGCAATGACGTAGTTGAAACCCTAAAGGAGGTAACTGAAGAGCAGCCAGTGCTCGAAATAGATGTTGAGGATAAGAAAGGCAGAACCTCCTAGAAACACGCACTCTGCTTGCGTGTGTGCAGTAAATCTAGTGATTTAAAGTAAGTCGGTGTTGCACTTAATCATGCATTAGGCAGGAAGAAGTAGTAGTGCTGCTAATGAAATTATGCGATTATCGAGGTGAAATGAAATGCAGAGGAGAATTATTGTTACTTACAAGTAGAAGGAAAGTATAACGAGCAAATTGAGGTTGTAATCGAAAAATGGATAGGAATTGCATTCTAGTTCAAAAGACTGTGCAAAAAGTGATTTTCACTTAGAGGTCCAAACGACTCACAACGTCGATGACATCCGTGACTTTGGTAAATTTTATTTTAGTGGTCCGCAAATAAGATATTGGTAAAATTATAGACATATGTGCACTGCCTTGCCTTGATTATTTGTGCACCACATTTTTTCGTATTCTTGGCCACTTAAAGGGCAGCCTTTTTGCTTCCGCAGGACAGCATAGCCGCTGTCTGATGGCGATAGAGCGCAGATTGTCTGTATGTCAGCGTTACAGCTTCTGCTTTGGAATGATGACTTCTTTTGTCTCCAGGACAGGCCTGGGGTGCCACAAGAGTTTCAGACTATCTTAAGCCGAAGTATTTATTAATGACTTATGCAAAGGCCCCTGAGGTGAGTATCTCATGCAGTAGAATAAGGAACAACATTTAAAATCCTTATTAAGGGTGCGACTTGGGGTTCAAATTCATTGTATCCCCTGTGGGCATCATTTTCTTGTTCTACTAAGGCAAACTTTTGCCAACCTTTGTTTTAATTGGTTCGGCATAACTAATAATTTTATGCAAAAATTTATATTTGGAATTGTGTCAAATTTTGGTTGTTAAGGAAGATTGTTTCACCAACACTGATTCCAATTTATAATTATGATAATCCAGCTACTGAAATTCAAGGTCACTCGGGCCTGATTTGGATATGCGAGGCGAAAGTACTTGCTTACTTGCTATAATGTGAATTCATTTCCGTTTGTTTGCCATTTTTGCGCTTCCCATGTGTGCACTAACTTTCTGCTACTTGCATCTAACCCATGGATTTCCATTGTCCTAACATCAACCGACTTGTGCTCTTTTTCTCCAACCAGCCGCTCGGAATCTCTTGGTTCACATTCGTCGACTTCAACACAACCAAACCATTTCCATCCCATCCGAGTCCCGGGCCTGGGAAATCCACCGTTTCAATGACTCACTTGAATGCGTCCTAAAAAGTGAGCTCAAACTGACTCGAACTCGTCGCCCACCACCAATAAAGCGCCCCAACGACCTGTTGATTCATCCTCAAGCCGTCTCTCTCAATCCAATCGACAAGTTGATGCTCACTGGCTATGGTAAAGCCGCCTTCCAGATGTTTCGTCGTCTCTCTTCCAGTCAGTCCTGCAATGAATTTCCTCTCACCCCCGGACGCGACTTCGCAGGTATTGTGGTTGATTCCGGTCCTCGAGCGGCTCTACTCTCCTTCCCTCCTGGAACTCCAGTAATGGGCGCTACAAGACCGCATACTAGCAGTCTCGGAGGCGGCTGTCTATCAGACTACATTCTCTGTCCTGTTGGAGCCGTTGCAAGGCGTCCGGAAAGGCTGGACCCTGTTCTTGCTGCTGCTGTGAGCTACGCTGGTCTCACAGCCTGGGAAGCTGTTTGGAAAGCTGGAATGGACCCTAATAGACGCTTTTCCGATGCCCCCAAACGAGTTCTTGTTACTGGAGCATCAGGACCTGTTGGTGCGATATCTGCCCAGTTAGCAAAGATTTCGGGAGCATCTCATGTTACTGTTACTGCCCCGTCACGTGTTGAAAAAACCGATCTAAAAATTTCACTTCGTGTAGATGAGGTGAGTGTGTAGTTTCTTTTCTCGTCTGAAATCAGAGGCTTCCTCCGTAGGTTATTCTCGCTCCGGAAATGCCCTACGTGAATGTTAGATATGACGCAATCATCGATTGCGTTAGACCAAAAATTCTTGCAGTGACTCGTGATGTCTCAAAGTGCCCGGATTTGAGGCACTTTGAATTTCAGGAATACTACCCTTTTCTACGGAATCTTGAATCTTCCTCGTCTGCTTCACGCTACGTTAGCGTAAATCCACCCGTTTTCCAGTTCATCGACCAATTGGGTCTTTCCATTGGTATTGGTACTTCTCTGGCTTCACTGGCTTACGCCAATCTGCACACTTTACTCGCTGAACACGGAAGCGCTCCCCTCCGTTGGGCCTTCTTTGAACCCAGCGGAAGTCGCCTGAAAGCACTCGCTGATTGGCTTGTTCAAGGTCAACTGCACGTGCCCATTGAAAAGCTATACACCTTTGATCAGGTTCCAGCGGCGTTTCAAAAACTTTCTGGTGGTGGTAATAACGGCAAAATTGTAATTGGGCTGGAGTAGAGGCAAATAAATAAATCTGTGTTTACTTTCTTAGTTGAGTGTTATGAAAACAACGGGTTTGCGGAAGACGCTGATCATCTCCTCGAGGTCAGATAGACGATTTTCTAGTCGTGCTCGGAGATTCCGAGCACCATTTGTAGACATATGAATCGGAGCACGAGTAAGTCCCTCCAAAGTTTTGGCGTGTGCTAAAGTGAGAACAGGCTAACTTCTGATTTGCTCTCTATGTTGGACTTCCAATATTCTCCTTTTTAAGAAAGTAAAACCTTACCAGAGTATTTCTTTTAAGTTAGTGAATGAACTGTGAGCTCACATACCCTCTTCAAGAGAGCGCAGCGTATCTCCTCTTTCCTCTTCCGACATTCTTCTGTAACCTGGAGGCGTTGTACTTCTTTCCTCAGCCTTCTTCCTAGCTGCCGCCTTTTCCTCTTCTTTCTTTCTTCGGAGGAGACTAGTAATAAATCAAGTAAATTATTTCGGATGTAGGATGACAAAAAGGCGTTTATATAACTGCATCTTACTAAGGTGGTAGCTTCCCAAAATTTGCCCTCTGTAAACTTGAGGAACGCTTGGATTGCTTGTCGGTAGATCGTCGATCTAACACGCAACCGTTGGAGACAGCATTTGCATTAGCACGTATGTAGTTGAGGTTCCCCCGGGTAAGTTGAGTCTGTAACAAGATAGACGAAAAATGCTAACTACCCAATATCTAAGAGTATGCGATGTTATGCGGATTATGCGCACATCTTTGGCGGAGGAGGCCCTGGGCACGTTCACCTTTGAAAGAGAAAGTGCTCGAGCTGATGTTTTGATCGGGATTTCACTTAGAGCCATCTTTGTGTCCGACTGACCGGTTTTTTCGTGAGCTCTCAAGAATTCGCCTTGCTTCTTTGGACTTTTAGTAGAGCAACAATCCGCACATGAGTTGTTGTGTATCTCATTTTGAGTGCACTCATTGAAGGTAGTGGGTTTCCTGTGTTGATCTAGCCTGCTGTCATTCTAAAATGAGGAATTTGTGATCCCTTGGGTGAATACTGTCGTTAGTTTTAACCTTTTTTCTCTTTGGATACATGGGTAGAAAATATTTGCAACTTCTTTGGTAGATGTATCGTGCTGATTTCGGAATCTTGGAGTATAAAGCTAATTCTTGTCAAAAATTGCTTGTTTTGTGTCGCCACGTGCCTTGTTAAAAAAGAGGGGGGCAATGTACATCTAGCAGTTACCGTGGTGAAGACAACAAAAGCATCCGAAATGTTTATTGAAAATGCAGTAAAGCGTTTAATTTGCAAAAAGTGAGGAAGTAGAAAATCAAGGTCATTGTGCTGCTGTTATTGTTGAGGTAGGTAAATTTATTTATGACCACACCTTTGCTTGCGTTATATTTGATATCACTACGATAAGGACGGTTCCTGGAACAACAAATGGTGGCTTTTATAGTTTTGCAAAGTTTATTAGCTAACATTTTTCCAGTTTATGTGAGTTGTGATTCAAGATATGTACATTTCGTTCAGTTTCGGAGGCTATTAGAGGATATAACTAGGTTTTGAATGTTAGCTATTTGCCAACGTGGTAGATTTGTCCATCTGCAATGTAATAGTAAGAACTAAGGTCAATTAACCAAAAAGGGTGCCAACAGAGAGTTAGGATACTCACATTACGAAACTCCGTCTGAGTTGCCTGATCCTGGTTAAGACCAATATCGCTAAGGTACCTTTCAATGATACTGGGTCCTGCGTCGGTCAACTCAGGAATTTGAGAGGATGAGACTCCAGTGAGTTCTTTCGCCATTGGTAGATGCACATTCCGTATGTTTTCTCGAATGAAATCTCTTTTAACTGGAAGATAAAAGAAGACTACGTAAGATATAAAGGTATCAATGAGGTTGGTATACATAAACTAAGAAGCACCAGAAGTTGACCGACGATTGCATCCCACGCTGCCAGATCTGGGTGTATTTTGCCACTGCAGCAAATTTAGAATTGCTCCCCGATTTTGAGTCATTGTATGTATGGATATCCTGCACTCAGAAAAAACATTGTAAACACAAATGCCAAACCCCTAAAAGGGTTTATATTACACCTCCAAACAGTGCCACACTTTGTGCAAAAAGGGAAAAGAAGACGTCAATGCCATAATTATGCAATCTGACAGGCAAACGAGGTAGAATATGCACCAAAGAGTAAAATAGAGCACCCAAAATATTTTGCGAAAAAAAACTTTACGAAAACACTGGTAAAATCACTACAAGGACAAAAATAGAAGCAATGCAAATTTCTACACAAAAAACAACAATTTCATTTAAAAGGTCAATGTTATCGAACAGTTTAAACAAAACGTCATTGGCATTTTTATGCATACAAGCTTATTATGTAGGACTGTTTGTATAAAATTTTTACCACATGTACGTGATTTTCGCTTCTGTATTAGCTTATTTACTTAATTGCTACAGCTTAGCCTGCATGCAATAAGGCCTATTGGGTCATTCCAGCCGTTCTGTCGTTGTGGCGCTCTGCGTCAATTTGTGCGTCCGTTGCAAAGTTTAATGCACTCTTTTTTGTTGGGACCTCCTTTAAGCGCTTATGTGATTATGGGTATTTCCATTACATATCCTTGCTCATTTCAGCCTACTGATTTACGGTCTTTCATTTTGGGTCCCACAATCCACTTTTTACGGACCCGTTCATGCTGGCCATTGATTTTGTAATGTACCCGTTTGTCCCTACTTTCAGGCTTGTGTTAGATATGGATTCGTTCCACCTTGAATTATCTATTGTCATTTACACACTCCTAACCGTTTTCGTCGGGATCTGCGGCGTAATTGCTTCTTGGTGCCTTCTGAAGCGTAAAGTCACTCCACACTTTGAAACATCACATAGAAATATCAGGGAATCGTACATATCAAGTCGGAAGTCGGCAGGTTTGGCACCCACAAAAGCAAAACAATGTACGTCCTGCCCCATTTTCTATCTTCTCGTATTCTTCAGAACGATTTTTGCTGTCTTTGAACTCTGTTTTTTTTTTACTACTCATCATCCTAGCTAACATATCACCTTAGTTTTGGACTGGAAAGTTGGTGAAATTCTGCTCTTTTTGGTTGCTATCTAGCCTGTAAACACCGACATGCTGCAACATTTGTTTTCGAAGGCCTTTCGCTCGTTTTAAACCCAAAACTTTCGAAAATATCTTGCTCTCCTGTTTCTTTTAAGGCCAATTCACGTGAAGTTTTTGTTGGTCATGCACCTCTAGTAGCTCCTTTGATTTTATCTCGTTCATCTATTTATTAGTTAGGAACATAGTATTTAAACAGAGTTCCGACCATCTTAGAACTATTTATAGTGGTTTTTCCTGAACAGCTCTTGTGATTATTGCTTATTTTTGACCTTTTACAAATTTTGATGGACTTAAAATTTTACACGGTTATAATTACGATTTTTTTTTCAGCCAAACGAGTCGAGTTGCTGAGCCACCTTCCATCGCGCGTGAAGCGACTGCATGAAATGCAGCAACTGGCGGAGCTCAGCGCTAAGGAGCGTGAGGCCGAAATGCTCGCCCGATGTAATCAGTTGGCCGCGATCCTGGAGGTGATGCAACAACAACCGGAGCACTTTGGTCAAGTCTCACAGGATGATCTTTCTGCCCAGCTGTCTGCTTTCTACAGCGCCACCACTGCCCTTGCCACTCCCTCTATCGCGTGATAGAGGTTTTATAACAAAAGATCACTCCCTTATTTGGCATTTCTGTGTTTATTGTTGGTTATATGACTTTCTTGACCAAATAATAGCGTCCTTATTCTTGGTGTATGAAATTGAGAAGGATTTTTGTTGTAAATTATTTCTGCATTTGTTTCAAATCGAGGAATTCCCATTATATCGTGGAATTACACTAGCAAAAATAAATGGCGGGTTTTTGGTTTCACTCCGGCAGGTGTAGAGTGGCGCATGAGACAGGTTTCCCTACTAACAGGTTGGTCTCTTTATTACTATTCCAGCTTAGTACCACCCATCCGTTTGAAAGTGAATTCCTTCACATTTTGAGGGACATTGCCTTGGTAATGGCAACAACGCAAACGCATGTTTGCGTGACGTCGCCAAACATTTGATGTGGGCGTTTCCCCAAAGTTGCGTGAGGCTTTAGAGTAGATTACCAGTTGGAGATTCGATACTCCCCAACCATAAAGATGTTTTATTTTTAAATAACGATCTAAGAAAAATTCG